TCCCTCCCCCCCCCTCCCTCTGAAGTGTGCAGGCACACAAAAGTTTATACCTGGTCTTGTTGGTCTTAAAAAGAACCACAGGACTAATCACCGAATTTGGATAAGTCTGTTAAGATTCTCTTGGTGGCTGTCAGGCAGGGCTGTACTTTGAAATGATTAATTCAACCATTAATTGAACAATTACTTTTCGTTAAGCAAAAGATTATTTTTATCTGGTCTGAATTTCTCCCGCTTTAATTTGTAATCCATGTTTCTTATTTGATTCTCTGAATTCTTTGATATAGAGTGCAATTATCTGTCAGAGGTTTTTATTCCATTCCATGGGAGAAATGAGCTTTCATTACTTCACAAAGGGTTGGGTTGCCTCAGGTTAAGCTACCTGTTTCAGTCTACAGAGGGCAGGCGCAGTAAGGTAAGCAAACTGGAAAATCCAGCCTTACACAATTTGAGAATGAGACTTTGCGTTTCCCGGTTGTAAATAGACAGGGGTCTGCTAAAGTTACGAACTGATTTTCTTTCAAAGTCTGTTATGAGGATTCCATCGCGTGGCCAAATTCATGAGAAAAGCTGCCTGGATGGATTTTTTTGGCTTTGTGTGTTATCAGAAGACACATGACTGGAACTGAAAACACAGAGGAAGTTGGTTTTTCCTGCTTAAATGTCCTGCATTGGAAACTTCTTTGCTGAGAACTAGAAGCAATGAATGGCCATATTCCTGAACAAGAAGTGCAAGACGTTGAATTACATGATCTAGAGGAAGAAAAGGAGGAAGAAAGTAGACTTGATGCAGAATGCCCTCTTAATCCTGAAGTCACAAGAACTTCTGAGGTAGGTTACTTTTTTAAAAAGGGTGTGTCAGTATAACAATAATATTTCATTGGAATAATTTTTTTGGAATAAAGGATTTTCATTGCAGGTGCTTGGATTTCAAAATTTTATTGTAAAGCCTATTTGGAGAATATTCACCTTGAAACAGACCTATATATTCTTCAATCACTTATATACCAGTGCCATCCTGAGCAGAGTTATACTGGTCTAAGCTCATTTACTTCAAGGAATTTAGAAGGTGTCACTCTGCTTAAGGATGGCACTATTTATCTCACTACCTGTACCAGCTGCTGGTGTAAGCTTATCTTGCATTTGATAACATAGAATGTCATATCAATAAGGAGCTGTACTCTCCTGGAACGAACAGGTTCAGTTCTTGGGGAGTGCTATTAGATCCATTTTTACCTCTGAAGGCTCTAATCACTGTGGTTCATCTCAGCTTTGTCCAGAGTTTAGTTGGTTCCTAAGAGAGTTTGATATAATATTATTACAGGAAACCTGGGCCCAGTATGAGATAAATTTAGAGGGCTATAGGACATTTTCCCTTTTAGTTTATAAATCTAACTCTTTTAGACGTGGCAAAGCAGGTTTAGCATTACTCTGCTCAGGCAGATCTGATGTAGAGGTGCTACCCCTTAAGGACTGTGATCATCTGGCCCAAGTTTTCCTTTTGAAAGGTTTGAAAAAGTCTTTAATAATAATTAATGTATATATTCCTCCATGTCCTGATAAACAATCCTTGACTGATTATTGGGTCTCTATATCAGAGCTCCTTGAGGAGCTGGATTGAAAGTGCGTTATTTAGTGTGTTAAAGTGCTATAACTCTGCTGCTTTTTCCTTGGCTGCTCAGAAGCAGCGGGGGGGGGGGGGGGGGGGGAAGGGGGGCGG